TTTGTAGCATTTTTATCCCGCTCTTTTCAGCCCAAAGGCAACTCAGGGTGGCATACAGACTGGCAACAATTAGATGCCATAAACATACATATCAATTAAAAACATTTAATATCACATAATAAAATTTATATAAAAACCAATTAAAGCTATAATAATTAATGTCTACCAGTTCGACTCCTTATCCATTTACATCGTCTAAGCCATTCCGTGTTCGTTATTTCATCATACACACAGATAGGTCGGTTGCTAATCCTTCTATTTATATATTGTCAAGCCAACCCTGACCAGGACCGCCTTCCACCTGGAAACCGATGTCCACACTGTGGAAGAACATCTGGGTCAAGAATAGCGCTCCACAGTCACCTATGTATACACCCCAAAACACTACACTTGGAAGGCCATCATACTCAAACAATGAGGGATCGCCTAAGGATATTCTCATATTTTACTTTTAGGGTCCCTCCCCTCATAACGGGGTTGATATTTTATTTCAAACCCTGCAATAATTTTAAGTTGGGAAATTGAGAGTTTGTACGCTAAGTTTGGTCCAGAACCATCAAGCGATGTAGGAGCCACTGTGGTACAAACCAACCAACCTATAAATATATATATACATAGATTTTTATATCTCTACATCGACATCTGTATCTACATAAGGGCCAGTTGCATCCGTACCTTGGGAAGTCAAACTTGGACATTGTAGACCATGCTCGTAACATCCCGCTTAGATTACTGCAACGCACTCTACGTGGAGTTGCCTTTGAAGATGCCTCAGAAGCTTCAGCTAGCAGCCAGACTTCTAACCAGAGCGGCGTACAGGGAGCATACAACTCCTCTGTTGCGTAAGCTCCACTGGCTGCTGATATGCTACAAAGCCTAGTACAAAATGCTGGTCTTGCCTATAAAGCCCTAAATGGTTCTGGTCCAGCTTATTTGTCCAAATGCATCTCTTCTTATGAGCCTATTAGAACTTTAAGATCCTCTGGGGAGACCCTGCTCTCGGTCCCACCTTCTTCGCAAGCACGACTGTGGGGACGAGACACAGGGCCTTCTCTGTGGTGGCCCCTCGGCTGTGGAACTCCCTCCCCAGCAACATCAGACTTGGCTCTTTGCACAAGAATTCAAAGAATATATTTCTACGGTTTTGACTTTAAATGTTTTTTAAATTTATACTGATGTATTGCTTAGTGTTAATCGTTTTTAACTGTTTAACTTTATTGTTAGTACTGGTTTTTACCGGCATTGAATTTTTGCTGGAATTACAAGCCGCCTTGAGTCCCTTCAGGTGAGAAAGGCGGGGTAGAAATGAAGTAAGTAAATAAATAAGTAAATAAATGAATCATCCCAATATTATAACATCGCAATGAGATTCCAGGCACAAGCTGCCAACAACCATTTTATTTTTTTTTAATTTTTATTTTATTTTATTTTTACTTTTTATTGTACTCTTAGGGCAGAAAATTTGGGTACGACAGTCTAGGCTGAAATGTGTAAATGAAGATCCCTTTGGACAAGACAGTTGGTCTCTTATTCTGCTACTAAATATTATGGAACGGCAGGCCATGCTGGATTGGAATATAAAACCTTCCACCATTTCCAGATGAAGAAGAAAATTATGGCAAGGTTTCAAAGAGCAAATGAGGTAGGGGAAAAAAAGCAAAAGCTTAACTCTCTTTTTACGCTGAAGAGATCTTTTTAATTATATCCATTAAAATATGATTAGGTTTAAAAATAAAAGGAGAACCGAATATAAGAACGTGGTTATGCTGATTTTACTCTGCAAAATTAATGTTGCCGCAACTCCTTAGTTCCCAGAAATGTCAGGTGGAAATAGCAAGCAGCCCTTTGGGGTGGGGGCGGGCGGGGGGAGGACTTTTATAAGAATCGTATTCTCAAATGGATCCTTGGCCATAAAGAGTCATAGCCTTTCATTTAAATCCATTTGCAAAACCATGTTTTAATTTCAATTAGTTTCTCTTTTAAAACAACCTGGCTTGAAATGGATTTCACAGAAATCTAAGTGTAAAAGCTTGCACTTCTAGCATCCTGTAAGGGCATGTGTGCACAATAATAATCTATCTATCTATCTATCTATCTATCTATCTATCTATCTATACACATGTGTATGTGTGTATGTCGTGGAGGTGTCCGCTTCCACAGACAGCTTCCCACCTCCACAAACAGGCTCTACTTCCAAGTGCTCAGAAGCCTCCAAAGGCACTCCCTCCAGTGACATTGCAGGTTATATCGAGCAATACAATATGAATGGGTTCCTTGGTAGACCAGTTAAACACCAATAATCCACTTATACAGATAAGATAATGAATGAGTCATACTCGCAATTAGAACCAAACTTAGCAGCAGAGTACCTTATCCCATTGCAAAAAATTTAAGTATCTCTTATGAGAACGTGTGTAAAAGACTGAATTTTACCACCCGAAGAAGGCCTAAACAAAGGCCGAAACCGGTCGTGGGAGGCTGATTCAAGAACATACAACAACATCACTGAAAGACTGTGCAAAACTTATTTCATGTTGCTTAATTTTGTGATTACTGTGAATTGAACAGTCTAAGTTTCACAGCTTACCTATTTGTTGGACTCATTCATTATCTTATCTGTATAAGTGGATTATTGGTGTTTAACAGGTTATATCGAGCGCCATGAACATGGAGCCCAAATGCTGCCAATGTCCTCCCCAAACACTACTGCCCACCATCCAAGGAATGCTCTCACTTGGGGAGAATGTCATCCTAGATTTTACCTGTTTCCTCCACCACAGGTAGGCATCTCAGGGTTTCTTGTGAGGAATTTGCATGACCCCACCCACTGCCTCTCCCCTAACCCTCTCCTACCCTATGGCACACAGCAAACACAAGGAAATTGATCAGCAACTGAACAGACTAGAGTGGTTTGGGGGACTGAGGCCAAATGTAAATACTGGCAGGATTTGGGGGTGACTGCCCTTGGCGTATGGGAGTTGTGCTTCACCTTTATCCATAGAGCACTGAAACCAGGCGACAACAGATTTGGACCAAACGTGGCACACATACCCAACTTGGCCAACTGTGCATTCAGACCTGATTTGGAAAATACTGACCCACAATTCTGGGAATTGTAGTTCACCCACATCGTTAATGTATTTTCTAATGGAAGCATTCATAAAAAACTAAATCAAAGACTGGTCTTTTCCTAATAAATAGCATTACTAATTAACTACATATTACCTAACACCCCAAAACAAACAATGCCTTTTTCAAATAACATGGGAGTTCTGTGTGGGAGGTTTGGCCCAATTCTATCATTGGTGGGGTTCAGAATGCTCTTAGATTGTAGGTGAACTATAAATCCCAGCAACTACAACTCCCAAATGTCAAGATTCTATTTTCCCCAAATTCCACCAGGGTTCACATTTAGGCATATTGAATATCAGTGTAGAGTTTGGTCCAGGTCCATCATTGTTTGAGTCCAGAGTGATCTCTGGATGTAGGTGAACTACAACACCAAAACCAAAGGACACTGCCCACCGAACCCTTCCAGTATTTTCTGTTGGTCATGGGAGAACTGTGTGCCAAGTTTGGTTCAATTCCATCATTGGTGGGGTTCAGAATGCTCTTTGATTGTAGGTGAACTATAAATCCCTGCAACTACGACTCCCAAATGACAAAATCAATTTTTTTGAGTGGAGGACATAAATTGGACTGTTAGGTGTCTTGTGTCCAAATTTGGTGTCAATTCCCACAGTGGTTTTTGAGTTCTGATGGCAGCACGAACTAACATTACATTTTTATTTATATAGATGTTATTTTGTGATATTCATTGTATAGCATTGATTTTTTGCTGTTAGCCGTTCTGAGTCCCTCCACGGAGGTAGAGAAGAACAGGATACAAAAGTTCTAAATTAATTAATTAATTAATGAAACAGAGGGAATATGTAGGTCAGGCATGGGCAAACTTTATCCCTCCAGGTGTTTTGGACTTCCACAACTCCTAACAGCCTAGAATTGGGAAGTGCGTCCTGGGGCTGAATGTGCAGCTATTAGGAATTGTGGGAGTAAAAGTCCAAAATACCTGGAGAAGGGCTGAAGTTTGTGCATGATGTAGATGGTCCAGACTGTAAAACTCTAGACTACACAGTTCCAGTATTGTCTAGGTAAGTCATTCTACCCCTCTATTCTGCTTTGGTTAGACCACACCTGGAATACTGTGTCCAATTCTGGGCACCACAATTCAAGAGAGATATTGACAAGCTGGAATGTGTCCAGAGGAGGGCGACTAAAATGATCAAGGGTCTGGAGAACAAGCCCTATGAGGAGCGGCTTAAGGAGCTGGGCACGTTTAGCCTGAAGAAGAGAAGGCTGAGAGGAGACATGATAGCCATGTATAAATATGTGAGAGGAAGCCACAGAGAGGAGGGAGCAAGCTTGTTTTCTGCTTCCCTGGAGACTAGGACAGGAACAATGGCTTCAAATTACAGGAAAGGAGATCCCACCTGAACATGAGGAAGAACTTCCTAACTGTAAGGAGAGCTGTTCAGCAGTGGAACCCTTTGCCCTGGAGTGTGGTGGAGGCTCCTTCTTTGGAGGCTTTTAAACAGAGGCTGGATGGCCATCTGTCAGGGGTGATTTGAATGCAATATTCCTGCTTTTTGGCAGAATGGGGTTGGACTGGATGGCCCATCAGGTCTCTTCCAACTCTTTGATTCTATGATTCTATGATCACAGAGCACCAATCTTAACCATGCAACATGAAAGGCAAAGTGTGGCAAGAATGGGCAAAATGGCAGGGAAACCTCACAGGGAACAATCTGCAGAGCTCCCCTCACCTGCAGCCATCCCTTGTAGTCTGTGGTTTGTGCCCTGCTTGGCCAGAACTGTGCCACCAAAGAGGAGCGGGAGCGCCATTTTAATAAACATGAACACTTAAAATTTCATAACCGAGTAATTGAAGGGAGAGCCTCAGCCTAAACCCGATACATTATCAGGCGGGAGTTTATCCTCACCTTGCGAGCTCCTTAATTAAGTTTGCGATGCGCCTCTTGTCTTCAGGACATAAATCCTTTAGAGAAGCACTCTTCATTCCTCCTTTGTCAGAGACCTGAAAATTAAAATCAGCATTTTAAAAAAAGGCAATCATTAACATGGAACGAGGATTTCAGAATCTACAATAGAAGCATTTCAAGCACCAGAGGCTGCACATTCAGCCCCAGACGAATTAAAAAAATGAAGGAAATATATTTGGGGGGGGGGGGGGAATTGGATTTTTTAAAAAAAGAATCAGCCAGTGGGATAGTTTCCCAAATTATGTGCCGGAGGATTCATCATTAACTTGTGCGCCTGAAGATAAGTTCCGGCTGGATGGAGAAGCAAGAAGGGCTGAAGCCTGTCAAGGGTCTTTTTTGAAGACTTGGGGTGAAAAGGCACACGAGAAAACAGGAAACTAGTCCATTTGAAATAAAACAATTACAATATACACAATATAGCAGCACATTAAATCATAATCTAAAATCTTTATTTTGTTTCATACACCCTCCCAGTCATACACTTATGCAAAATACTTCCCCTTTCAATCTTTTGCATTTTCCTCTACTTGTCTATTAATAATAGTGAGATCTCCCCCCCCCCGCCCCAAAATAAAATCATTTATCCAAAATTTCACCTGTCCTAATATACATGAGCTTGAATATCATCCAAAATGCTTGGGCTCAAAAGTGTTTTGGAATTTTGGATTCTTCTGGAGGTTGGGAACACTTATATTTGCATATATATTTGCATATCCATAGTGAGAAATCTTGGGGATGAGACCCCAATGTGTCCAGAGGAGGGCGACTAAAATGATCAAGGGTCTGGAGAACAAGCCCTATGAGGAGCGGCATAAGGAGCTGGGCATGTTTAGCCTGAAGAAGAGAAGGCTGAGAGGAGACATGATAGCCATGTATAAATATGAGAGGAACTCACAGGGAGGAGGGAGCAAGCTTGTTTTCTGCTTCCCTGGAGACTAGGACGCAATGGAACAATGGCTTCAAACTACAAGAAAGGGGATTCCATCTGAACATGAGGAAGAACTTCCTGACTGTGAGAGCTGTTCAGCAGTGGAACTCTCTGCCCTGGAGTATGGTGGAGGCTCCCTCTTTGGAAGCTTTTAAACAGAGGCTGGATGGCCATCTGTCAGGGGTGCTTTGAATGCATTATTCCTGCTTCTTGGCAGGGGGTTGGACTGGATGGCCCATGAGGTCTCTTCCAATTCTATGATTCTATGACCCAAGTCTAAACATGATATTCATTTGTACATCTTAGATAACTTATACACATAGACTGAAAGTAATTTTATGTGATTTTTAAAAATATGTTTTTGGATTAAACAAAGCTTGTGTACATTGAACCATCAGAAAGCAAAGAACAGAAAGCTATCTAGATCAATGGTTCACAACCTGTAGTCCATGGACCATCAGTGGTCCGCAAAAATGAAAATATGATCCACAGCCTCACAATTACTACACCGTTGCCTCGGAACTACACAGCAACAAGAGTGATTGGTCTCGCGAAACCCGAAGCAACAGGGATGTCGGGATGGGGGAGGCTGACTACCCACCAAAGATTCCAACTACCACATTAGCTCTAGATTATTATTTTCTGTGGGCGACCAAATTGCAACTACTGGATGGCATATGTTCTGTATCAGAAACTAGAGCTGATGTGGTCTATTCATTGCAATTTTCTGAATTAGCACCTATTTGTAACCCTTTTGGTACTAATGTTGGAGAGTGATCCCTGGTCAAAATGGTCCCTGTTCAAGTGGTCAAAAGAAGGTTGGGAACCACTTATCTAGATGAGCAACTTATAAGGTTTAAATTGTATTGATTTTATGGTTGTGAGCTGTTTTAGGTTTTGATCAAGAGGGAAAAGATAACAACAATAACGACAACAACTTCTAGTCGTGGAGTATTTTTGATTTCAGTATTCCAAATAAGGGATGCTCAACCTGTTTGAGTCATAACTAATAAGTGGTTTTCATATCAGCTCAAATACATTCTTTAATTTCTCAATTGTTGGACGAAACACCAGAGAATCCTTAAAGTAAGAGTATATAATATCAGTATTAATGATAATGTGGACTTAAATACCCTAAAGGCACAAGATCCTATCTTATCTTAGAAACCAAATAGGTTCAGCCCTGGCTAGTGCTTGGATGGGGAACCACCAATTGATACCAAGTTCTGAAGGCTATGTTTCAGATGAATAGAGGTATCATGTGTTGACAGGTTGCCTGGTTGCCTGAAAGCTCATTTACATTAATGTTAATATTTTGCATGTGCAAATAATTTGTGAAGCATAAACTAAGCCTCCCGGTTTGTTACTGCAGTCCAAGTGCCACGGGAGACAAAAAAAAAACCCATAAAATTGGTTACCAAACTAATTGGAAAGCTATTGCCAATGTCTTGGTCAGCCTATCTTTTCTACAAATTGGCTCACAATTCACTCTGTGTCCACTAGAGGGCAGCTCTCCTGTATTTACATTTTCCAACATTAACAGAAGGTATGTCTTCAATTCTACAGGAGACTCTCAGTTAACCAGCACCCATGGTCATTGGTAGATGCTGGACAGACATAGTTTCTGGCTACTTGAGAGTTGCTATTAAAAATAGTCCTAACTAATACTATACTTCATACTATACCATAAGTTTGTCTCGATATTTATTGGCTCGATATTTACATTTAAATATAGTAACTAAAAGCAAATTAAGACAAACCTAACATAATACAGTTTTACTGTAGTACAAACATTGATTTAATTCTATTTTCTATTAAAATTATTTATTTGGGTTTTTTTCTGGTTGCATGAGAATTCCGGTTACTCTATTTCATCTACTCATCTACTCTGTAAAATACAGAAACAGAATAAAAACAAAAACAGTAGATTGTACAATTATAACCCAGAGGATTATAGCAGAACTACGCTGAGAGTCAGGCACATCTACACTACAGACATAATGCAGTTTGGCTCCACTTTAACAGCAACTACAACAGGAGTTGTAGTTTTGCAAGGTATTCGGGTTTCTCTGCCAAAGAGTGCAAAGGCCCCACCAAATTATAAATCCCAGAATTCCACAGAATAAAGACATAGCAATTAAAGTGGTATCAAACTGCATTAATTCTACACTGCAAATGCACCTTATTTCAAGGTATAAAGAGCAGTGAGGTCTTGAACCAAAAGAGAGCTTAGAATCTACTCCCAGCCTACAAACATAAAAGTCCCAGTTTGGACAAAACGGCAAGATATACATTCTGTTTATTACAATGCCCAGCGTCCACCACACTACAGGGCTTTGGGAGCATTCAGGACACGCTTCTGTCCAAAAATGTGAGCTGACAAATTTGATCCTCATATTTAATGGCTTCGCACATTTAGCTCTGACCTACAAGAAGCACTGCCTGAATATCAAGCAAAAAGTGGGTGCTAGAAACAATATCATATGAAAGCTGACTGGCACAACCTGGGGATCACAACCAGATACAGTGAAGACATCTGCCCTTGTGCTGTGCTACTCTGCTGCTGAGTATGCATGCCCAGTGTGGAACACATCTCACCACACTAAAACAGTGGATGTGGCTCTTAATGAGACATGCCGCATTATCACGGGGTGCCTGTGCCCTACACCACTGGAGAAATTACACTGTCTAGCCGGTATTGCACCATCTGACATCCGCAGGGAAGTAGCAGCCAATAGTGAAAGGACCAAGGCAGTGACATCTCCAGCCCTTGTTTGGGTATCATCCAGCACATCAACAACTTAAATCAAGAAATAGTTTTCTATGATCTACAGAGACACTCACTGGAACACATCTGCAAGCGAGAGTCCAAAGGTGGCAGGCTCAAACCCAGAACCTCGACCAATGACTGATACCAAATGAGAGACTCTCCCCTGGGCACACAGAAGACTGGGTGACTTGGAAGGCACTGAACAGACTGCGCTCTGGCACCATGAGATGCAGAGCCAACCTCAAGAAATGGGGCCACAAAGTGGAATCCACGACATGCGAGTGTGGAGAAGAGCAAACCACAGACCACCTGCTGCAATGCACCCTGAGCCCTGCCACATGCACAAGGGAGGACCTTCTTGTGGCAACACCAGAGGCACTCCAAGTGGCCAGCTATGGGTCAAAGGACATTTAATCAACTTCCAAGTTTGCAAACTTTGTGTTTTTTTATCTGTTTGTTTGTTTTGTTCTGTTAGAAATGTAATACAATTGTCTGGTTGCCCCTGACACGAAAAATAAATAAAGCACGTTTATTAGATCTGCAGCGCTCCTTTCCCCATGACTGATAAAGCAGCTTCAATTTTTCGAATGCTCCGCAATTCCCCCTGCGTGATTCTAGCAGTGTCTCCCACCCTCAGGCCTCTTCGCCTTACAGCACAATTGAGGGAGGAAGTCAGAGAAAAGGGAAGGGGGGCTGTCATTCCCAAATAAGAGAGACAATGATTGAAGCGTAAATTGGAGGGACCAACGTACGATTCAGAATAGTTGGTCATCCAGTCCAACTCCATTCTGCCATGAAGGGATATACAACAAAAGCCATCTCAGATGACTTCCCGTTTAAAGAAATTCCAAAAGAGAAGAGTTCCCCCTGCCCCGTCTTCCGAGGCTGGATCTACTTCTTCTTAAGCGATCCCTCGTTTTCCGAGGATGATTGTCTTCCAGTGTTCTTGTGGGTCCGTATGTGGCTGTGGAGCCCTATTCTTGCTCTGCATCTTCTTCCGCAGTGAGGGCATTGGTTTCCAGGTGGAAGGCGGTCTCGGTCGGGGTTGGCTTGACGTGCCTTCCTCCTGGCACGTTTCTCTCTTTCACCCTCCACTCGTGCCTCCTCAAATTCTGCAGCACTGCTGGTCACAGCTGACCTCCAGCTGGAGCGCTCAAGGGCCAGGGCTTCCCAGTTCTCAGTGTCTATGCCAGAGATTTTAAGGTTGGCTTTGAGCCCATCTTTAAATCTCTTTTCCTGTCCACCAACATTCCATTTTCCGTTCTTAAGTTGGGAACTGCTTTGAGAGACGGTGGTCGGGCATCCAGACAACGTGCCCGGTCCAACGGAGTTGATGG